CCAACCAAAAGGGCAGGAAATATATATAAGTAGTTGAGGGAAGACCTTGTCCTTTAAGCTAATATTTGGAAATAGTGCAAATAATTTCAGTTTATATACATGTTTCCTGTTAGAACTTGTTCAGGTTAATTTTGAAGGCCAATTTGAGTAGAATGAGTACTACCTGGATGGCTTATGAAACATTATTCCTAGGTATGTCAGTGAGAGTGGCCAGAAAGATTGGCAGGTGAGTCAGTGTGCTGAAAGGGCACTATCCAATCAGATGGGAGTGTAGGAGGAACAAAGGGAAGTGGGAGATCCTGTTTACTCTCCTTGTGTATTCTCACCCTCTAGTCCACTCCTTACAAAGTGTGGGGCGTGTTCTACTTCTGCTGCCTGCATATCTGCCTCCTCTGTCCCTGCTCTGCACTGAACCTTGGCTGTGTTTGGTTCCTACTGGTACTTGGCCTGTATGTCCCACTGGCCAGATAGGCTCCAAGTTCCTTAATTTTCATACTCTACCCCCTGGCTGCCAAGGGTACTTGTGCCTGCAGCCTCTACAGTCACTCTGGCCTTTGACCTGGGACTTAGAGCTGCAGTAGCTTCGCTGCTTCTGAGTTTTCGAGTTGTCTCTCCGGTTTCCAGGCACTCTGTTTCAGGACTTCTCTACCTTGTGATTCTGTGAGCTAATTCCTATAATAAATCCCTTCTTTTATGTGTATTTATCCTGTTTCTCTGGAGATCCCTGACCAATATAGAACTTAATCTCTTGGCCATGCTATGCTGCTAGTTACATGGTCTGTTCTGGTCAGCATGGGCCCAGCTGAAATTTGTGGGATCAAAAGAAAGAGAATAGAGGGACCAGCAGATGGCGTAATGGTTATGTCGCTGGACTCCCATGTAGTCGACTGCAGTTTGAGTCCTGGATCCAGTGGCTTAAACTCAGGCCAGGCATGTGCATGCCCAAGATCCTGAGAGGAGAATAGAGGAAAGGGGATTGTGGTGTGGCCGTCCCCCCTGGGGGGAGTGATTTCTCACTTTCTCTCTCTCTGTCTCTCTCTGTCTCTCCGACAAGCTCATGTGCCCTATAGCAAAAACCTCTCTGAAAGAGAAAAAAAATTAAAAAAAGAGAACCGATATTGGGGTTGACTAATGATTCCTGCATTAATTCTATCCTGTTTGATAATCAACTGTGGACGATAGAGTGGACATCTAATCCAAACACTTAATGGAAAAGAGGTGGGCCAGCCAGTGTTGTGGTGCTTAAGGGCGCGGGATCTCGCAGGGCCAACTGTGCGGTTTAAGTGCTGGACACGATGGTTTAGAAACTATGCTGGGCTTCTGGCCCAGCACCCAGTGAAAAGCCAGAGTCCATGTGCATCTGAGGTGGGCCCAGCCCTGCACCTTTAGCCAGAAAAAGCCTCTGCCCCAAACCTCTCCTTCCGGCCCAACACCCAGTGAAAAGCCAGAAGGCAAAAAATAGCATATAATCCATCAGATGACCAGAAATCACCACAGAGGCACAAGAAATATGGGAAATCAGTAAAATATCTCTCCCCCAAGGGGAAAAAATGGCACTTCATCATCCACAGACAGTACAATGGAACTTGTGGAAATGTCAGATAACGAATTTAGGATATTCTTAGTGACACAGCTAAACAGACATACAAGAGAAGAGAGGCAATGGATTCTAGAAGATGCAGGAGAAAAGAGACAACAAGCTCCTGGTGAGGAAATTCTTCCATGATCTGAAAGAGAAAATACACACTATAAAAAAGAAGCAAACAGGGACCAGCAGTTAGCGTAATGGCTATGTCGCTGGACTCCCACGTAGTCGACCGCGATTCGCGTCCTGGACCCGGTGGCTTAAACTCACGCTGGGCGCGTGTGTGTGTGTGCCCAAGATCCCGAGAGGAGAATGGAGGAGAAGGGATTGTGGCATGGCCATCCCCCCTGGGGGGTGATGGGGGGTGATTTCTCGCTTTCTGTCTCTGTCTCTCTCTGTCTGGCAAGCACACGCGCCCTATAGCAAAAACCTCTCAAAAAAAAAAAAAAAGAATCAAACAGAACTATTAGAGACGAAGGCTGTGATAAAGGAAAAGAGATTGCAGCATGACCATCCCCCATGACAGGGGCTGTCTCACTTTCCTTCTCTCTCTCTCTCTCTCTCCTCTTGCACATGCCCTCTAGTGAAAAAAATAAAAAGAGAAAGAGGTAAGACAAAGCCCAGTTTTTCAACAAAAGTGACTGGGATTGATAAGTTTCATATGTGGCTTAAATAAAAATCAAGCTTTCAGTTTGGAAAGACAAAGGTAAAGAGTTATAAAAGTAGAAAGTCAAGAAAGTCATAAAGGAGTTAACACTTCACCACATCTTGATATCTGATAAGTGAGAGGTAATCTTGACATTTAAAAGATGCACTGGCCTGAACTGGGATGGTGGGTGGGAGTGATGGGCTGACAATGGTCGGCATGCTGCCCAGCAATTGCAAAAGCAGAACTTGGCCAGGAGAGATTTGTCGTGTGCTGGTTTGGAAAGGTGACTGGCTTTACGGTTGAGGCTTTGAAAGAGGGGGGAAGCAACGCTGGGGGTCTGCCAGGAGCATGTACCCTAATGAAGTCAGTACTCTTACTAGAGCTGAAAGGAAGCCTTAGTTACAGGTTGGGGGTATAAGACACTTGCTGACTACTGGCTAGGCACTAACCCCAGATCTAGTATATAAGCATTAATTTTTTTTTTTTGAGAAGTTTTTGCTATAGGGTGCGTGCACTCACCAGAAAGAGAGAGAGAGAGAGACAGAGAGATAGAAAGTGAGAAATCACCCCCCAGGGGGATGGCCACGCCACAATCCCTTCTCCTCCATTCTCCTCTTGGGATCTTGGGCACGCACGCACACATGCCTGACGTGAGTTTAAGTCACCAGGTTCAGGACTCGAACCACAGTCGACTATGTGGGAGTTCAGAGACATAGCTATTATGCCAACTGGTGGTCCAAGCATTAATGTTTTTAATGACTCAGAATCTACTCTGGGCCAATGTTACCTTTCTAATTTTGTTACTGTCAATACATTATCTTTTCGTTTAAGCCATGGCAGATTGAGTTTCTCCCATTTTATGTAGAGTTGTTTTATCTCAACAAAAAAAGATCTAATGCTATTAGACCCTCTAGATATTATTATATCCTTTAATTTGAAAATACTTATGCAATGAGTATTATTCCCATGTTATATAAATGGGATAACTGAAATAGAACAATTTAATAACTTGCATGATAGGAACGAGCAGTTGGTGTAATGGCTATGTCACTGAACTCCCATGTAGTTGACTGTGGTTCGAGTCCCAGGCTCAGTGGCTTAAACTCACGCCAGGTGCATGTGCATGTGTGCCCAAGATCCCGAGAGGAGAAGGGAAGAGAAGGGATTACAGCATGGCCACCCCCCCTCCCCCCGGGGTGGTGATTTCTCGCTTTCTGTCTGTCTCTCTCTGTCTTTCTGGTGAGCGCATGTGCCCTATAGCAAAAACAACTTGCATGATAATGTGTAGCTTGTCAAACCAACTCTGAAACTTATATCTAGTTCTAACTCACCCTCCACAACAATTGAGGCCCATACTCACGTCGTCTGCATACAGATGATAAGCTAATCAAGGGTCAAAATGGACAATTTGTTTAAAATGATATATACTCACTGCACATATCTTAACTTCAAACACTGAAATATGTATTTGTTCACCAAACTTTTCTGTAGGTTCAAGGCATTCATCTGAGTATGTAGCTAATCATTAGTGTTTCATATCATCTTTCTTGTATGACCTGCATCAGGAACAATCAAATATTCCAACTTTTTATTTCTTTTAAGGAGAACTCTAAAATACTTCCGGAGCAATTTGAATATAGAATCCTACAGCTTCTTTTCTTCCAGTAATGTACAGTTGATTCCCCACATCTAATCCAATAACCATTTTTAAAATGGCAGACCTCTATCAAGTCTTCCCAAAGCATTCAACTTAATTTTAAGTTGAGTTTCTAATTTTCTTAGAAACATTTTTTTAGAGAGAATTTGCTATAGGGTGCATGCACTCAACAGAGAGGCAGAGAGACAGAAAGCAAGAAATCATCCCCCCAGGGGATGGCCATGCCGTAGTCTCTTCTCCAGTCTCCTCTTGAGGTTTTGGACATGCACGTACATGTGCCCTGTGTGAGTTTTAAACCGCAGGGTCCGAAACTCAAACCACCGTCAACTATGTGGGAGTCCATTATCATTAAACAATCTACTGGTCCCAGAAACAACTTCTTTTCATTAATACATGGGTTTATATATTTACTTAAATCATATCATTACACTAAAAACTATCACTGTCATTGACATGCATAGACTGCTAGCTTCCTAGGGCTGCTGTAATAGAGAAGTGCAAACTGGGCAATTTATAACAACACACATTTATTTTATCATCGTTTGGAGGCTAGAAGTCTGAAATCAAGATGTCAGCAGGGTCATGCTCCCTCTGAAACCTGCGGAAAAAGCTGGTATCTTTTCTTAGCTTCAGGTAGTTTTCTGGCAATCTCTGGCATTCCTTCTTCAGTTCTGTCTTCATGTGGCCATATCTTCTGAGTGTCTGCGTGTGTCCAAATTTCCCCTTTCCATAAGAACCCAGTCCTCTTGGATTAGAACGTAACCTAATGACCTCACCTTAACGTATTATCTCTATAAAGACCCCATCCATTATGTTCTTAAGTGGCAAAGAGAGTCTGGCCCACTACATGTGCCATTCTCTGTATTTGCCAGCCTTAAAACTGCTTTGTAGACCATTCAATCTTTAGCCAATTCAGTTATTCCAGTGACAGATAATAAGCAATAAGGTAAATAAACGAATGTTATTAGAAAGTGCTTTGGGAAGAAATAAATCAAACCAAGGAAGTCAGGAGCAGGGCAAGGGCAATTTCGAATGGGCTGGTCAGGCTAGTTCTTGCCGCGGTAACGGATGAGCAAAGATCAGGAAGAATGGGAATTAATCAGCAATTCCAGAAAGGGAGGAGCCAGTGGGAAGATCCTCCCGCAGTAATCTGCCAAGGAATTGTTCAAGGAACGGCAAGGAGGCCAGAGTGACTGGAGCCATGGGGTAGGTGGTAGTAGATGAGGCTGTTAGGGTAAGGAAGAGCAGACCATGTAGGGCTTTGGCTTCTACTGAGTCAAATGGAACACCTCTCGGAAGGTTTTGAGTAGGGGAGAGATTCCATCTGGGTTTTACTTGAGGTCATTCTGGCTGCTGAATGGGAACCAATCACAAGAAGACCATGGAGACCCCTGGAATGACTCAGGTAGGAGACATGGAAGTACATATGGGTAGGAGGCGGTCAGACTCTGGGAATGCTAGGACCTTCTAGCCAACAGAATTTCCAACAACATTCCTGGAGGTGGATGTGAAAGATGGTCAAGGATCATGACAAGCTTATTGGCTGAACAACTGTAGAATAGAGTTGTGATGGAGATGGTGGTGTTACGGGAAAAATTAACTTGGGGGGAAAGACGAGGGGCACAGATTTAGACATATCACGGTGGTTATCATGTTGTCATGGTTTTAGATTCCAAGAACAACAGTAAGTAGCCAACTGAATGGAAGAGCTCGGAGTTCCGGATACAAGTCCAACTTCCGGCCAGAAATTAAACTGCACCATAATAGTATCAGTACCAATTTGGCTGATTAAAGTAAAAATGAATAAACTATCCATTTTAATTAAAAAAAACTCAAGATAAAAAGATTTACCTTCTTTCTCTGGGCTCAAGGGAAAAAAAACTCATTTAGTTCATCAGGCTCATTAAGTCACAAGTGAAAGGATGAGAAGTCTTTGTTGGGGTAAATGATCCTTATTGGTCAGAATCCTGCCTTTGGATCAAAGAGGTCTCATTCCTTCCACCTAACTGGCCCCTCTCCTTGTTTTTTCTCCTAGACGCTATAGGCCGGAAATGTTAGGGAGAGGAATAAGTTGGGGGG